CGGTGCTGTAATAGCAGCGCCTGTTACACACAGTACAGCGCTCCCTCAGTGCTGTAATGCTGAACCTGGTTACATACAGCATTATTCTATGAACACTGTGACACCAGCCCCTGTTGCTGGTAAATCGTGTGCTGTGTAGTAATATGGTTATAATTGTTTTCATAGTATTAAGTGATTCCTGTTGTTGAAATGTTTCACGCTAACATCCTGAGTTTTGGTGAAGGTAGCTACTGCAATATTGACTGGATTTTGTCCCTTGGTTTCTGATCTTGCAGGAGGGTGAATGCTGAGAGTTTGGATCTGGAGCAGGAGGTGGATCCCCTGAATGTGGATCATTTCTCGTGTACCCCTCTGGTGAGTTGGGTCCTTGTGCTACCTATTGATTAATTACTGCCAGTACAGTGTCCCCTCAGCACAGGCTGCCCTCCGTTCGGAATTGTGCTCCCGGGTTAGAGCTGGTCTCACTGCTGCTCGGAACTCCAGGATCAGAACCCATTTTTGAAGCTGGTGCCAGACTGTCACAGGGAGGGGAACTATCCAAAGGTTAGGGAATCAACAGAGCAGGTCAGTCACGGAGGAGGTTACAGAGATAGGGAGGGGGTGTAGGGGCCAGAGGGGGTGACAAAGATAGGGAGGGGGTGTAGGGGCCAGAGGGGGTGACAGAGATAGGGAGGGGGTGTAGGGGCTGGAGGAGGTTACAGAGATAGGGAGGGGGTGTAGGGGGCTGGAGGAGGCAACAGAAATAGAGGGAGGGATGGTGGGGAGGGAGTCAGGCCCTGAAGGGATTTAGAAACTTGATGGACTGTTGTTGGATCATGCTGTGCTGTACTGATGGCCCAGGTAGGTCAGCATTGTGAATGGGGAAATGCGACTGGGGGAGGCAGCACCGCTCGGGCAGGATTTGGAAGTGAATAGCTGGGAGGTCAGTGCTGACTGGGTTTTGTTCCCAATATAACAGATGTGGGCCTGTGCCCTGGGCCATGTTGAAGCTGCTGTCACCCTCTTCGCGTGGAATAGCCAAGCCCTTGGTATCCCAGACTCGCTGGGGCGCCTCCCCCTGCAGGTAGCACGTTCCCGTGGCCATGTGAGGTTGGCCATGCGACTTGAGGAGCTGCAGAGACAGGAGAATCAGATCCAGGACTGCCTGCTGAGGGCCAGGCTACAGGACAGCGATGGAACAGGTACCAACTGGCAGCGGTGGGTACGAAGCTCTGCTGAAACTGGCAAGGCCCCTTCACCATCCTCCGTGAGCCCAGATATAGGTAACAATGCTCATTTACCTCCTTCCCTCCACCACCACCACCACCGCGCACCCCACCCCACCAAATCTGAGACACAGTGGGCACTGTCTGTTTCTGCCCACAGCCTAGCATTAGATTTAATCGTCCCAGCAGCTGCTGGGTTAAACTTTCTCTGGGCACTGACTCAGTATAGCACTGGGCCCTGGGACACAGTGTTCCCCTGAACCTGGGACTTGTTTGTTTATCTCTGTGAGGCTGCACACCTATTGACTCGGTGTTTGAGGCTGTATTTTACAGCAGAGAACAGGGACTGCAATGAAATACTGAAAAGCTGAAACAAGCCCAGAGATTGGTGGAGAAACTCAGCAAGTCTGGCACTACAGTGGGAGATGATGGCCTTGTGATATTATCTACAAATGGTACAAATCTACAATTAACAACCTAATGATGACCACGAGCCTTGTTGTCAGGAAAATCCATCTTTTTTTTATTCGCCCATTGGATGTGGGTGTCACTGGCTAGGCCAGTGTTTATTGCCCGTCTGAAATTTGCCCAGAGGGCAGTTGAAATCACTTGAGAGTTGCTGTGGGTCTGGAGTCACATGGAGGCCAGACCAGGTAAGGATGGCAGTTTCCTTCCCTATAGGACATTAGTGAACCAGGTGGGTTTTTCCAACCATCGACAATGGATTCATGGTCGTCATTAGATTCTTAATTTCCAGATTTTGTATTGAATTCAGATTGCACCATCTGCTGTGATGGGATTTGAACCTGGGTCCCCAGAATGTGACCTGTGTCCCTGGATTTACAGTCCAGTGATAATACCACTAGGCCATCGTCCCCCTTACCTAGTCTGACTGATGCATGACTCCAGATCCACGGCAACGTGTTTGACCACTGACCTTTGGACAGTTTGGACCGGCCACTAAATGCTGGTGTAGCCGCTATGTCCATGTCCCACAAATGAAAAAGGCTAATCTGTGGAGGGAGGATCGGAGTTAGGTTTTGAGACCATTCTAGAGAAGAGTCCTACTGGACTCGAAATGCGAACTCAGTTTCCGATGCTGCCAGACCTGCTGAGTTTCTGAAAGTCAGGATTTAGCAGGTGGCCGTGCTTATTGTGTTAGTTTTGATCTTCCATCGATCCTTTTCACCGCACAGGTCTGAGCACTGTCAGCAGTAACTCCTCTCCCTCCTCACTGTCTGAAAGGTCAGGACCTTTGTCAGTGAGCTCTGTGTACTTCAGTGGCTCTGTTCACAGAGAGATGCCTATAACCAGCCCTGAATTGCGCCCCAGTGCTGAGCGAGATGTAGCCATGGAGATCTGTGAGCTGCAGAGACAGGACGTCACCAACACTACTTCGCACCCAGCGAAGGATCGGAGCCGGATAGCTCTCGGCAGCAGTGAGAACTCTGGAGCTGCAGGAAACAAGGAGAAGCCCAGTACCCTGTGGGGCCTGCAGGAGGATGCCGAACCTCGGAAAATCCGGAATGGCAGCACAGCTGACCCCCACTTCTTCCTGGACTATGAGGCCGCTCTAATGACCAACAGCACCAAGCAGTACTCAATGGTGACAGGGAGAGATTCCATGGAGACAGATTTGCTCCGTTTCAGTGAAAATGTGGAGAATGAAGACTTCCTGCCCCCGGTCGATGTATTACAGGTGAGAAAGGTCAGCTCCTCCGGATATCCCACTCCCCACCCCCACTCCACCGGATATCCCACTCCCCACCCTCACTCCACCGGATATCCCACTCCCCACTCCTATTCCTCCGGATATCCCACTCCCCACCCTCACTCCTCCGGATATCCC